TATCCTTGAACTGAGTTGTACTTACTGCTCCTGGGTGGCTGTGGCTAATAGAATACCTGGGTTCGTGTGTGTGTGTGTGTGTGTGTGTGTGTGTGTGTGTGTGTGTGTGTGTTATTCTCGCCTTTGATTCGGCAGGGTGGTAGATTATCCTATTCTTCAATGCAAACAATCAAGTTAAAGAGGTAGCTGTATCATATTATGTATTTCAGCATCTGAAAAAATGTCAATTTTTCTTCCTCATCATTTTCTTCAGTTGTCCCTGGCCTTGTTGGACTCACTAAAAACCAGCTGGTAGGGGGGGCAAGGGCAACATATGTAACCTAAACATCTGTACCCCCATAATATGCTGAAATGAAAAAAAAAAAAAAACAGCCAGGTTTTCCATGCCCAGACTCATTAACTCTTAGGGATGCATGCTTCTCTGAGACAGGTCTCGATTGTACTGCTTCCTGCCGGGCATGCTGGCACAGGCCCTAATCAGTGGGAAAATAAATGGAGCCGTCCTTGGTCTTGGGCCAACACTGAACCCCTATTTTCTGGATCCTGAGAGCTGCCAGCTGGCCCACTGCCAGGAGGCCAGAGCCCATGTTCCCTTGTTTCCTCTCTGCTTCCTTTCCCTAGCTGCTCTCCACCTCTGCGGTAAAGCCCCTGGGTATTCTCTCAGCTCGCTCTGTTTCCAAATCTTTCTTTATTACTCAGATACTTGGGAACATTCTTGCTGTGTTTCATTGCTGTGTATTTTTTTTTTTTTTGTGGGAGATTTCTTAACTAGATGGTGTCATCTTGAACAAATGGAAGAAAATATATCTTATGTTTTCTTTTGTATCCATTCACTCCCTAAAAAATGTCCCCATCCCTGGAAGGGCCCAGGACAATGCAAAATACTCACCACTGAATGATTAAATGATTAAATTTCCCAAAAGATGACCCAGATTTTTTTTTCCTGCAGAAGTTCTCTTATTTTCCTACTCTTTCCTCTAGTATCTTATTTTATCAATTATTTCCTCTCTCAACTGTCTTCAACTTCTCTCTTCCTTTGGGGGTCCATGTTCTCCATCTATAAACATGTTTAAATCTCTCATCTGAAACAAATGAATGAAGACAAACCAAAACAAACACAACCTTTCCCTGACTCCTTTCCACCTTCTCTTGTTTACCTCCTATTTCTGTAGTTGCTTTTTCTGACATCAGCCCTCTTCTCCTCCCTCTTCATGTTCCCAGGGAGCAATTTCTGGGAACTGGTTCCCCCAGCTTCAACCACACCTCTCCACTGACAGACCCCAAGTCATCTTCAGATCACCACTCTCAATTTCCTAAGGCCTGGCTTCGTGGGCGTATGACCAGCGCAGTGGCACAGTGGAGGAGTCACCAGGACCCCTCCCACCCCTTAAGATTTAATGCTCTGCATTCACCATCTTGAAATTCTTGAAAACTTTATCTCTGAGTTTTGAATTGGTATTCCGTAGGTCTACCTACAGAACATCAATCTACTCAATTAATCCACTCAGGCTGCCATAACAAGATACCACAATTCTGGAGACAGGAAGTCCAGGATCAAGGTGCCAAGGTGCCAGCAGGGTGGGTTTCCTGTGAGGGCCGTGAGGTGATGCTCTGTTCCAGGCCTCTCTCCTCAGCTTGCAGCTGGCTGCCCTCTTGCTGCCTCTTCACATGGTCGTCCTTCTGGGCTCACATGCCCCTGGTGCCTATCTGTCCTAATTTCCTCATTTTATAAGAACACTAGTCGGATTGGATTAGGGCCCACCCATGTGACCTATTTAAAGGCTCTACCTCCAGATACAGTCACATTCTGAGGTACCAGGTGTTAGGGCATATGAATTTGTGGGGGACACAATTCAGCCCATAGCAGTAAGGAAGTTGGATGGTGCAATGGAACATGCACTGAGAGCTTGGAGTCCCAGCTCACTGTGGTCTTGCTTTTTGCTGCCTTCCAGACACGTTCTTAGCTGCCAGCTAGTTCCCTGCCTTCTGGCCACCCAGCAACTCCTTCCTTCTGCCCTTATAGAGAACATGGGTGCAGGTGCTAGGAGGGCCGGGGTCCATCCATCCTTGCCCAGGGCTGGCAGTGCCACTGCATGTTTGGAGGTGATTTGGCGGGGGTGAATCTGGCACCCACCCCCAATCCCAGCATGCAGCATGTCCTGGCTGATGTTACAATTCCTAGGTTACCTGTGGCCCATGGGTTGGGCAGCAGGCTATGGGGAGGGAAACTGACTTCCCTACCTCCCAACCCTGGGTCAGTCAGCCTCTTTGACTAAACCTCTGCCCTGAAAAGCTGACGTGCATAGACAGCCACGATTTTTAATACATTTTCAAGGGGTAACGGACTCCATGAAGCCGTTTTATGCACCCTGTGGATTTGGCCCTGCTTCCCTTTCCAGCCTCATCTCAACCTCTCTTACCACACTGCGGCCCTCCTGAATACCGTAGCCATTCTCCAAATGCATTTTATTCTTCCGTGCTTCCACGCTTTCCTCTGTCTACCATATGCTTTTCTTCATTATCATTGTAACGAACTACTATTTAGCCTTCAAAATTAAAATTACATTCTATCTTCTTAGTGAATTCTTACTGTCATTTTGTACTTCTCATTACCGAGTGCTCCTTTAGGGCCTCTATGAATCTCTTTTATAAGGTTTATAACACTAAATTTTGATTGTTTCTTTACCTCTCCATCCCTTCTACAGAATTGTGAGCAATTTTGAGGACAAGAGCTATATTTTAATCATTACCATTTTCCTGGTGCTTGGTGCAGACCTGAGGACAGTAAATGTTTGTAAATATTTGTTGAAAGATCAAATGAATGCATGAATGAATGAATGAATGAATGATTGAATGAGGGGAAGTATGAGTTTGTAGTGAAGAAAATGCATTTTAGAGTTAAATAGTCCTGGGTTTAAATCCAGGCTTTATCAATGATTAGTATTGTGACCTTAGGGAAATTGTTCTAAAGCCTCAGTTTTCTAATCTCAAAATAGGGCAAATGGAATTTACCTCAAGGCAAACTGTCATCAATTTATATTGACAAACAATAGCTACAGCTATATATAACTCAGTCCTATCATTAAATTTCCATGAGCTCAAACGTTATTTTGGAATGAAATGACAAAATTAAAAGACAATGAAGCTGTGTTCTTGCAGATTTATTTATTAAAAACAATAAAAATACACACTCATTCAATGTGCACTGGGTATGAGACATTATGCTAGGACCTGTGGAAAAATTAAATATAAATTAACATTTGGCTTGTGGAGGAGGAGTTAAGATAATATAGGATAGGCTAAATTTTAAAGTAGAAAATGTCATGCGCCATAAGAGAGGTTTCAGATTTCATATTAAGAGTTCATTTGTAGTTGGGGCAGTGAGGAAGGCTTCCTGGAAGAAGTGGCATTTGAGATAAACCCTGAAGGAAAAGTAGAAAGATGTTGCTGACACTGGAGGAAGAAGGAAATGAATGCAGCCATGGGAAGGTGGAGATGCCTAGGAGAGAAATGTGAGCTCTACTATCCTTTGATGATGTTGCTTCTCTGGATGCAACAATTTTGGCTTCTGAAACTAACAGTGTTAGTGACCTGCCTTTTCCACAAAGTACAACGTGCCCTGGCTCCGTCTTATGAGCTGTTGTCACTCTGCCAAGAACCAGGCCACTGGATGCTGCCAGCTAAGGTAGAGCCTGTCCTGTTTGCTTTGTTGCCTTGGAGCGGTGGCAGTTCTGTTGCTCTGCTTTTTGTGAATGGTTTCACCACGCACTGACAACATGCGGCACACGCACCCGCCATGGATAGAATTCCCACGAACAGGAATGCGCGTGCGGAGACTTGGGGAACGACTAACAAATGTCATCACAGATGGTCAAATTGTGTTATTTAGAATTAAACTGCCTGTGGATGAGGCAGAGGAATATACACACATGCTATAAAGATGATTTTCAAAATATTTCAACTTGCATGTGATAATGAAGCTAAGCTTTAAAAAAAAAAATCAATGAATCAGATGTCATTTCCAGGATTCCTTTTCTGGCACCCTCTGCGCGCGCTCTGCTATTGCTGCATTTCCCCCATTACGGAACAGTCTTGGTTAAACGCTGGCTCTGGGCACCAGGCTTCTGAGCCTGAAGGCAAGCTCCTCCATTCACCAACATGTGACCTCCAGCAATTCATTTGACCTTCCTAAGCTACAGTTTCCTCGTCTGTAAAATGGAAATGTTAGTACCACCTGCCTGATACGGCACTTGGGAGTAGTAAAAGAACTGAGTCATGGGATAAAGAACGTCTCAGTGCCCGGCACACCTGAGTGCTTTCTCTGCAGACACCGGCAGGCATGACCTGCTCTCTCCACCCTAGTTAAAAGTGCACCCCCACCCCCCCGCCCCAATTATCTAATTTCCCGCGTTTTTTTCCCCACAGTTCTTTATCACTATCTCACACACATTTTAGTTATTTGTTATGTTTATTGTCTTTTTGCTAAAATATAAGCGCCAGAGGCGCCCAGATCAGCGTCTGGCATGGAACGTGGACTCAAGGGCGGATTGAGCCAGGCCTAAGTTGAAACTACTCCTGGCCCAGTCCTATCCCTCTGGGGCTCCGTTTGGGGGACATTTGACTGCCTGTTGGCATCTGTACCAGGGGGTAAGAAGAGGAACTAAAATCGAAGCGGTACTTTAAGCGGTGAATTGCAGAGGACTCTGGCCTTGATGAACTTGAACTCGATGCTGAGCATTTTTCGTAAACCTCGATCCATGCTGTCCTCCCTCTCGCAAAGCCCATGAGCTCCTGTCACCCAAAGTTGGCCTGAGGGACCCACTGCAGGGCCGGGGAGGGCAAAAATTCTGATTCCTTTTTCCTTTCCCCGCGCCGGCCTCGGATCCGGACTCGGAGGGGCAGCGTGAGCGGAAAGGGCTCTGCCCAGCTCGCCTCCTCTTCGCCTCGGCGGCTTCGGGCCGGGGAGGCGGCTCGGGCCCCCTGCCTCTCCCGCTGCGCCCCGCGCCGCCTCCCCGCCGGTCGGGAGCGCGCGTCTCCGCCGCACCGCGGCGCCGGGAGCGACGCGCCCAGCCCTGGGCCGCGGGAGGCGGCGGCGCTCACGCACTTCGGAGGAGTCGGGACCCGGCCGAGCCCGCGGGCCGCGGCGCGCCAGCCGGTAACCGCGGGGCCGGGCGCCCGGGGCACAGCAAAGCCGGGGCGGGCGCGCAGTAGGGCTCGCTTGGGTTTGGGGGTGGTCTTTGGTTTGGGGGTTGGAAAAAGGGGTGGGAGGAGAACTGTGGTTTGAGGATGCCCAGGGGAAGAGAGTGGACCCCGTGGAGAGAACCCAAGTTTAAAACCCAGCCCGCTGACGCCCGAGTGTCCCGCCGCAGGGCGTCGGAAAAGCCTGGAAGCCGCGACGCTGGGGGCTTGGGTGGGCTTCCTCCCCGCGCTTGGCCCCAGCCGCCGGGCCACACCCTTGCCCGCCGGTGAGAAAACTTTCCTCGCTGCAGCCCTCCAGCCGCCGCGGTGCCCTGGCCGCGACAGCCCTCCGGGACGCGGATCTTGCGGCTCAGGGCGAAATGCGCGGACCCTGGCTCCGGCACGCGTGCCCTGCGGCGGGCAGGGTTCTGCCAATGAATCCGGACGTGACAGCTGTTGATTCATTTTGCTGTGCCTGGGGAGCTTGCCTGCAGGTCATTTTACTGATGAGAGGGAAATTGCGGTTTCCACATCCCCCACCCCCAATCTTTTCTGTGTAGTCGCTTTAGAAACCTGTCTGGAGGCTTTGTGGTGTTTCCACAGCATTTTCGATGACATGGAATCCCAGATATTACTCTGGATTTAGTCCGACAACAATGAAACACTCATTGGTGTTTTGAAAGCAAAAGATGCTTGGGGAAAAGTGTCCATGCTACTCTAGGGAAGAGGAGGGAACTCTAACATAAATTCTTATGAAAACCCCAAAGTAAGTCGTAGTATTTCCAGTTTACAGGTGAAGAAAATTAGATCGAGATATTAACCTTTTCAAGCTGAATCCCCCAGTTAATAGTGGGGAGTAGGGAGTCTGGAAGCTGGGACTGTGAGTTTAGTGTTCTTTAGGTACATCATGTGGGGCATATTGCATGGGGCACATCACCAAGAACAGGAGCAGGACCAGTGACCTGCGCTTGCAGGGATAAGGGTGGGAAAGCCAGAGGCTACTGTGAGCTGGGGAGCCCACAATGAGAAGTTGTGTTCTGATGAGGAAGACCACCCAGTGTTTATGGAAGCTAAGGTGATATGAATAGGTGATAGGAAAAGGCAGAGTTGCTCCCAGTTTGTATCTTTCTTTTCAAAATGGGAAAGCCGGTCTAAACCTCTTCAAGAGAGGCCTTGAAGCCCGAACATGGAGTGGACAGCTCAAAGCCCAAATGGCAGGCGTCTGAGAGCAGTGAAGGGGGTCACAGTCATCTTTGCTGCAGATAGGAGAGATGAGAACAGAGCAGAAGACTTTTCAAAAGAGGGAAACATTGAATCCTGGTAACATTGCAGAACAAATTCTTAAAAAAGATATCTCAAGACCACCTAGGGAAGCATTTAGAGGACAATTTGTGCTAAACTAACTTCTTTCCCTTTTCTAGCAATCTACCAGGCTGGATTGGGGTGTGCCCTATCCATTGTTTTTCAAATGAAGTCTGTGACTCATTAGGTTAATGATCAGTTTAGTGAGTTGCAACCAGTGGTTTTTAAAATATGAAATTCAGAAAGGAAGAGAAAGCAGAGAGCATTGCATGAGCTAGGGCAGTGGTCCCCAACCTTTTTGGCACCAGGGCCTGTTTTCATGGAAGAGAATTTTTCCATAGATGGGGGTGGGGGAGTCGGGCTGAGGCAGAGCTCAGGTGATGATGCCAGGGATGAGGAGCGGCTGTAAATACAGAAGAAGCTTCACTTGCCTCTGCAGCTCACCCCCTACTGTGTGGCCCACCAGTTCCTAAGTTGCATGGAAGACAATTTTTCCACGGATGGTGGTTGGGGGGGTGGGGTGCAGCTCTGTGGCCCAGTCCCTAACAGGCCATGGACCCTTACTGGTCTGTGATCCAGGGTTTGGGGACCACAGAGCTAGGGTATTGTTTTTAAAACATGCGTGCATGTGTGTTTGTGTGTGTGTCTGTGTGTCTGACTGTTATTCTGTGTTGTTTATCCTGCTGCCTCTGCTTGGGTGTTGACACCTATCTCTGGCGGCTGCCTTTCTCTGCTCCCCACTTTGCTCCAAGCTGGGGTCACTCTTCTTTTGCCTTGTGAATGACGTCATCACACATTCTGCAGTGCAGCCTCCCTCCTCCCCGTTTCTGTTGGCCCCCACGTGCTGAAGTGTTTCTCAAATCGGAATTCATCTCTGAATTCTTTATTTTTGACTTTTTGTTGATAGCCATAGTCCATAGATAACTTTTATTAAACATATTAAATTAGTTCAAATTTTTTAAAGAGGATATCAGTTCTCTCCTTTTTAGCTTTCAAGGTGGAAATGTTTTGTTACTTGGAGTACAAAACATATTGCAAGAACAATATTCTCATGGTATTATATAATACATTTATGGAAACATTGCTGTGCCAGTTGTGATATTTGGAAAATTACCAGATAATGTCTCACTGTGTTATTTTCTGGTTAGTCTTTTTTTTTTTCAATTTTTCAATTTTGGCTTTTTAAACAATTTTTGGTTGATTTTCAACCTTTTAATGTCTTCAGTGTAACAGCAGCTTGGCTAGATGCTTTCTATTGCATAGTCTACTTTAGTTCTCACAGCAAAGTGACTCGTTATTTCCATTTTATAAACAGGAGGTTCCCAAAGCCAGGGACCTACGAACAAGTCAGAGTCACTGATTGACTCCCACCAGTGGGCAATCTAAAGTGTCCTGCCTTTGCAAGATACTTACAAAGTCTCATACTATCCCTAAGGACAAAGAGGAGAAGGGTGGAACACAACGAGGCTTTATCCCTGTCCCTTCTTGGCATTACTCATCAAGAGAAAGACATAGAGGAGATACTTATCAGAGTTGTAGCAACTATTAATATAAATCTGGGAAGATAAGCTATGAGAACCATTTTAAATCTGGACAAGAGATAATAATACTAAAATATTGGGCTCACGGTAGAGTTAAAGGTCTAGTTCTGCATTTAGGTTCAGGGTCAATTAGAACAGGAAAGGATGGAGCAGACCCAATGAGCAGCAATTCACCTGCGAGGAAAAAGCCTGGGAGTGTCAATAGCCACCAGCTCCGAATGAACCACAGGGTGAAGTAGCTGCTCAAAAGCAAACTTGGGATGCATCAGGAAGGACATGCCCTTTTTTAAAATAGACATTTGTATGGAGCTTGTCACGTGCCAGGCACAATTATGAGTGTTTCGCAGTTTTCACTCAACCCCTGCCGCAGCTCCATGAGGTAGGGGATATAATCATCACCATTCCCATCTAACAGATGAAGAAACTGTGGCACAGAGGGGTGAAATCACTTGCCCATGGTTGCACAGTCAGTAAATAGTAGAGCTGGGGTTAGAACCTGGGCCTTTAATGACTACTATCTGCTCCCTCCCTGCGGTGTTTGGATTGGAAGAGCCCAGGGTCCACTCTGATTTTCCATTCTGGGTGGCACCTTTAGAGAGAATAGGGACCAACTCCAGGGTGTCCAGAGGGAGGGGACCTGGATGACAAGAGTCTGGACACCAGGCCCCACGAGGAACAGGGAGCATTCAACCTGGCAAAGAGGAACCTCGGCCAGGTTTTGAGCTGGGTTTGTTCCCACTGCAGAATTAGGACCAGTATTCTAGCAAATGCTGTGTGATCTTCTGTCAGGATTTTGGAGAAGATAGATTCTCCACTGGCTGAGGCTGGGTGTTGAATTTTATGTCTCTGAAAGCCCCTTTCAATGCTCAAATTTCTCTATTTTATTGGAAATATGAGTAAATATGAACTTTAAAAATAATTCGAAATTAAGTGTCTCCTAAACATTTATGTATGTGTGTGTGTAAATAAAGTAGAGTACTAAATTAAAGTTTTGACTGAGGCACACGTTCCAGTTATGTGAAATTCCAAGGGAAAGTGCTAGACCACCAAGTAGAAATGTCAAAGTGGGTATTTGCAAACCTTTCTGTCTCTTGTGAACCCACTGGATACTTTAAGACCATGAGGGTTGTAGGAGGAGGCTTTGTTGAATAGATTTCTTCGGAGAAGTCTGTTGCCACTTCCTTCATCCCAAACCTACCTAGTGAGGGGACTTTGGAGGGATCATGAGTTGAGCTGTACACATGCTTCCTGCATTTGGGGCTCATGCCAGGACCCGGGCAGCTGGATCGCTTGCCTTTCCAGAGTTTGTTGGAGCAAAGATGCCTGAAGGTGTCCTAGGGGCCAGGTGGGGCCACACAGGAGGGAAGGCCCACCTAAGGGCAAGGGCACCCCAGCAGCAGAGGTAGCAATGAGCCGAAGGAAGGAGAGTGAGTGAAGATAATGAATTCAGCCGTGTCCTGCTTTCATCTTGGAGGGGTGAGAAACTGAACAGCAGTTGAGCAAATGGTAAAGAAAGAAAAAAAGCCAACGTTTCCCCAACTGCAGCAGGAGACCAGTGTGCAGCAGGACCTTACTGGGATAAAGGGCAGGTTTCACGTTTTAACCAGGTCAGAGTTTCTTTTGTTTCTAAAGACTGGACATTTTAATTCTTTCAGGACTTTGAAGTGGTTGCATGTGCAGAAAAATCATGAGATCTGCTCAGGGGTTGGTTTGAGGGTGGGGAAGATGAATCCTTTGAATACATTTTGAGGGGCAGTAGAAGACAAAAATAAAATTGACATTTGATTAGGCCCACAAGTTGTGCTAGCTCAGAGTATAAATTATATCTGCTTGGGTTAAAATAGTAAAGATTAGCAATCTGTACTTGGTGTTACTTCTGACAAAGGAAGATTTAGAGGCAGGAGTTAGAAAA